GAAAATGAGAGTAAACTAAAATACATAAAGAAGGATCATTTTGAAAAATGTACTTATTTACAGATGATGGTCTAGCTAAAGAACAAATAATAGTGCAAAGTAGAAAGATTTATTTTATGCCATCAATTGTTCTCTAAATATAGACAAGATGAAAATGAAAATAAAACACATTCATAGGTTTCAGTTGGATAAAGTAATCACTGACCAACACATTAATAAAATGGTGACAGAGTAAGCTACTGGGGAGGCCGTGGTGTGTGCCATTAAGGAAAAAAATCTATTAGATAAAATATAGCACACTAGGGAAAAAAGACGGAAGAGTTAAAATAGAAAAATGACATAAAAAGAGTTTGAAATAGAAATGAGTAAAAATAGAAGTGAAAGGACTGGAAGAGAAAGAGGATAATGGATTTTTAGCAGGTTTAAGTGATTTGCCTAGGAAAGGTGGCTGGGTCATCTCCAAAATTCTTTCGGCTCTCAGATGTTGAAATTGTTAAGATGTAAAAGCTGGGGAAATGCAAAGATGTCATCTTCATAAGTTGCTTCTGATTATAAAAAGTTTGGGTTTATCAAAGCCCCCTAATCTGTCTTCTCACTTTCCTCGATGCCACTGGTTGAGACCTTTATCATCTGGGACCACTCCCCTATCACCCGGCCTTTCATCCCTAGCCACACACAGACCCCAACACTGCTTCCACCTCACAGCCAGAGCAGTCTCCCCGTGGCTCTGTGGTGTACTGTCACTCTCCTGTCCAAGAGCTTCTCCTGGATCCCTGTGGCATTCAGACTGGAACTGAAATGCCATAGTGGTCCTAAGAGTGGAAAGAACAGTGCTTGAAAGTAAGGTCTTAATTTTTCACTTAATGGATTTTTTTCTAAGATGTACCCTGTAATGAGCGTTTGATGTAAAAGAGCAAAGGATTTTACAAATCACAGTATCTCAATAATGTAATTAAAACACTACATTCTTGGGGCACCCAGCTGGCTCAGTTTGTGGTGTGTGTGACTCTTGATCTCTGGGTTGTGGGTTCAAACCCCACGTTGGGTGTGGAGATTGCTTAAAAATAAAATCTTTAAAAATAAATAAATTAAAACACTACATTCTTATTTACCAGATGTCAATTATGTGAACTTGGCTGAACAAGAGCAGCACCTGCACCTAATTAACATCTCCAAGTCAAGAGCATCTGATTGATTAGTGTGCTAATTTTGGATTATGACCTCGGAGCAGGAAAAGTTAACAACAATCACAATGCCAGGAGAAATTATTAGGACAGGCTGGCTACGGTTATGTTCAAAATTACTGATGTAATATTCTAAAGCTACACTCAGGACCTCATGGAGAGACACCAGAGTATGGAGAGAGGCCTCAAGGTGAGTGGCTGAGTACAGCCTCAGCCAGAGTGTCTGTGTTTAAATGTTAGCTCCACTGCATACTTTGTGATCTTGGGCAGACAGTTCAACTTTCTCTACCTCAGTTAATGTCATCTGTTCAAAAGGACCTAGTTACAGTGCCTATTTCACACAACTATTATAGGAATTAAGAGTTCATCCATGTAAAGTTTCTAGAACAGAGCCTGGCACATAGTAGGTGCTATTTAGGTGGTTGTTACATTCTAAGCTCCTCACTTCACTCCTTACTGATCTGTCCCTTAAACTGTTTTCAATTCCATCTTCTTAAAATTCTTTATGACCTCAGTGCATGATGGACCCTTAGGCTCTGGCATGTCTAAATGAGCATGTACTGCTGGTACTACTTTGTATTTGAGCACAGATTACCCTTGGATGGCTTGGATTATTACCAATTTCATGTACTCTTGTTTGTTTTCTAAGAAACTGTAAGCCTTCTTCATTCTTTCAAGCAATATTTACCAAGGCCCTTGGGCTGGGAACAGGCTCACAGGAGGGCAGACGGAAGCCTCAATCTCCACAGTGTCTATTGCCAGGCAGGGAAGACAGAAGGAAGAAAAGTACAGTGCAAGGCAGAAGCACCAAGCCGGGAACCTTTGCCAGACCCACAGGATGGGCCATGTGTATTTCATAATCCCTAGCCCTAACTGAGGACCAGGTTCAGTCAAGGTAAAGCCTCTATTTTTAAAAGATTTCTCATAACTCGAAGTAAGCGAAGAGAATTCATCACAGCTGCATCCTAGTCCCCTTACTGTGGCCTGAATCATTCTGGTTGATCTTTTTGCCTATTCACCTGCCTTTTGAGCACTGAAAAACTGTATATTCAAACCTTCCCAAACAGGTAATCACAGAGCTCCCTAATAATAACCAACCACAGAAAAAATCCCTGTAGGCCTAGAAATCAGAAAAATAATTTAGTATCTCATTTTCAATCTGACATTACTTTTAAAAAGGAAAAAAAAAGAAGCAACTTCTAGAAGAATAGTGCCTTTTTGTACTTTGTTTATGTACATACTAAATAAATCCAGAATTTCCATGGTCTTCTATCTCGAACATTGGTATGGAACTTGAAACTTAAAATCCTTGCAGCATTCTCAACTTATTTTCCCACTTGGAATTCACAAGAACGACAAAGATATCACCAACTCTATAACATTCACTTCTGAGTAAACTAACTCCTCATATTCATGCAATGTTCTGGAGCCAGGACCATAAGCATGGCAAGGAAAGCACTTTAAAGTGTTATTTACACAAGACATCACCTAACTGCAAAGTGATTCAAACGTATATGCATATCACTGTCTGAAATCTTAACCACACCATCATTCTGTGGCATTTCTGAATTATTTTCATTTCTGTGCTCTGACTTCAAAAATAATACTATTTCTGAATGGCTAGAGCTAAAATAATTAATTTAGAGGTACAGGGAATAAGAAACAGAGAAATAGCCCAATACCTGACTACATACTCATATATAAAACTTATTTTAAATTTCATATTTCATTCTTCACCCTTTCAGTGATAAATAAATGTTAATTATTCTTAAGTTCAACAAACTGAGATCTAAAAAAGTATGAGAACAATGAGAACAAAATGCTCCACCAGATGTTAGTTTAATATGGATTATGATATAGAAAACATTATATTCCTACAAGATAAATTATGTTTCCCAGATAGATGGATAAATTGTACGTGTGTCTTTTCAGAGGTCATCATGCAAAGCTCTATTTACTTTAACAAAACCTGAGAAGGAAATGCTGACCAGAGCAAGAAAAGTATTCTTGCTTAGCTATATTATAACATTAAAATGTCAGTTCAGATCCTTTTGTTTGCTTTGAATAGGACAGACTACAACACAGAGACAAGAAAATATCAACAAAGGCTCTGAACATCAACATGACCTTGGCTAACATTTACATTTTGTCAGGACAGATGATTCATACAAGTAAACATAGCCACTTCATCAGTGGCTTCCTGGAGACCACAGGGTTGAAAAATTGGTTCTTCTGGCAGTCTCCATCCTGTGTTGTTGAAGGAAGCCCATTCTTCTGATTGCCAAGCACTCTGGTTATGTTCCTTGGTGAACGTAACTGGTTCTATATGCCATTTGTTGACCTAAAATAGCTATGATGCATTCCTTCCACTTGGGGTTCCCTGAGGGCCAAACTTGAACCACAGCATTTTGCATAAGACCCTCATCCAGGTCCAATGGGTCACTGGCTAGTAGAATGTAAATCCACACTTGCTACCTAAATATATTTTTTTAAGATTTATTTATTTATTTGAGGGGAGAGGGTAGAGGGAGAGGAAGAGAATCTTAAGCAAACTCCCCACTGAGCAAGGAGCACGACATGGGGCTTGATCCCATGACCCCTAGATCATGACGAGCCAAAACCAGGAGTTGGACACTTAACCAACTGAGCTACCCAGGTGCCCCACTGTTTAAATATTTTTAACAGCTTTTTTTTTGCTCCTTCAGAGCTATAAAAATATAACTACAACCAAGTGCTTAGCTTCACCTCAGGCATACTGTGGTAGAAAGAGCTAAACCAGGAGGAAGACTCTCAGTCTCAAGGCAGTCCCACCACTAAACAACACCATGACCCTCAAGTCATGGGATTTGGTGGGACCTCAGCTTCTGATCTGCACAAGAGGGTAAGTAGAACAAATGATTTCCAGGTTGATTCTAACTCCAAAAATGCCCATGATCCTGCCTGTTTTAAGTCATTTCCATTTTTAGGTAGCAGGTTATAACACAAACACACAGATTCAGAATCAGATAGATGGGGATCCCTGGGTGGCGCAGCGGTTTGGCGCCTGCCTTTGGCCCGGGGCGCGATCCTGGAGACCCTGGATCGAATCCCACGTCAGGCTCCCGGTGCATGGAGCCTGCTTCTCCCTCTGCCTGTGTCTCTGCCTCTCTCTCTCTCTCTCTGTGACTATCATAAATAAATAAAAAATAAAATAAAAAAAAATAAAAGAATCAGATAGATGTGGATGGGAATCACTAAGGTTAGAACTTCTCTGACATTCCATTTCCTAACTGTAGAGATAATACTGCTGATATTACCTATTACCAGCTAGTTGTAAAGATTAAATGAGACCACCCATGTCAACTGTTGAAAAGTGGTTTGTTTATAACAGAGCCTCAATTAAAGAAAAAAGTTATCCCTAATTATGTTTTCAACTCTGCATTTTAGAAATCAATATGAATTTGAGACTTTCACAAAACACCACTTGTGGCATATACTGTTTTTTCAATTGTCACATTAATTCTTTCTTCTTTATATCCACTTCCATACATAGAAAGTTTCCTTTTTATTCCCTTTTTGTGCATAGTCTCCACCCCAGAGTAGCCTCCTTTATAATTGTGCTCCTTAAATTACAGCTTTTTCATTTCTCAGGATAATTGCTGTCTTTGCTTTGATTCTTGTTTTACAAGTAGATGATTCTACATCTAAGAAATATTGGTACTTTCAGCACCTCAGAAAAGAGATATTGCTATGTTATATATGTTCAGCTGGAAAACAAAGAAATGCAGAACACGTTAGTCTTAAGGAGACACGAAAACCTTCCTAAGGAACACTCACCTCTCCAAATCTTTCCACATTTTGTATTTTAGATAAGTTTCCACCAATGGACATATCATCCAAGCCAGAAAGAATTTTATTAATACTTCCTTCACTGGACGGTCTATTTTTCAGTTTGGATCGGAAAATGTCTCCTTGGACCCATAACGATGCCTGTTTTCTGTAAAAAGGAGAGAAAACAGAATAATTTATCTGTAAAATAAATTACTATCATCTCCTCAGAAGTATAATGTCTTACAGATAAAAAGATTAGCAGATAAACCCTTATAATTCAAACTAGAAAGACTATGAAACCTTAGAAATTTTTAAGTCATTTTCTGAAAGTCAGAATTGTTATATGAAATAAATTAAATAAATTATATTGAAGTTCCATATGAGACACAAATACCTATCTTCCAATATATGTCTACATAACCATACATGAGTTGCCCTATTAAGGTTCTCAGATGCTTACAACAACAACAAAGACTATAAAGCCCATTTGCCTTTTACATATAAATTTGAAATCTGTATGACATTTCTCAAATAGCAATTTGATATGTCTATTAAAACAGCTGGAGTGAACTGGACTCAAAAATACAGGTGAAGAAACTTGAATCAAACAGATAGTACTAAAAGACTACTAAATCCCTAATTGTATGTGGCACCCTGAAAAGCCCTGAACACACAACTTTAGAAACCCACTCTTACTACCTAAAAGCAAGGTAGTAGAGTATCAATTAGATCATCCTTTAAGAAAATATAATTCATCTGTAAGGTTTTTTTATTCAATAAGGCACAATTGTAACTGTTCTCAAGGTTACAAGAAAAAAAACTTAAAACGTAAACAAAATGACACTCTGGGTTTTAAATTTTTATTGACAGAGTCACCTTTCTGCATTTCTTTTAAGATAAATTATCCATCAGATAGTTTTCATTCTACTCTATGTCATACTCTACAGAATAGAATTAAACTGAAATTGTGGTTCATTACAAGGAATATTAACATCCAGGGAAATAACAGCATTATCAAGGAGATGCTACCCATAAGAACATAGATTTATTTTTTGAGGCAACAGAAACACCAAGCAGTACTTTCTCCCAAAGATTCCAAATAAAATTCAGGTTAAACCATGAGGAGAAAAACAATGACAAAAAAATCCTCCCTGAGCTATAGTGTCTCGTTGGAATCCACCTTTCCTTTTTAAAAGAGTTTACTTTCGGGGTGCCTGGGTGGTTCAGTGGGCTAAGCGTCTGCCTTAGGCTCCAGTCATGGCCCCAGGGTACTGAGATCGAGGCCCACGGTTGGCTCCCTGCTCAGCAGGGAGTCTGCTTCTCCCTCTCTGCTCAGCAGGGAGTCTGCTTCTCCCTCTCTGCCTCTCCCCCTTACTCCTACTTTCTCTCACACATACAAATAAATAAAATCTTTAAAAAATAAAAAGAGTTTACTCTCAAATCAGAATTTTTATGATTAAATACTGTTGAAAGTCTTGAAGAAAAGATTAACTTTTGAATTATACAGCAAAATTTTACATGAGTAATGCCTCCAATCCAACATATCCACATGCAGGTATCACCCTACAGAGATACATACTTGTATACAAGATGTGAAAATGCTTAGCGCAGCATTATTGTAATTTAAAATACTGGAGCTATCTAATGGACAACCAGTTTATTAACAGTAGATCCATTCTGGAAATAGTATACAGCCAGTAAAAAGCCTGGGATGGACCTCCATGTAGTAATGAAGAAGAGCAGCTATGAAATAAAGTGTTAGTGAATGAAAAATGTGACAGAGTAGAAAGTGTGATCTCATTTTTTTGTATAAAAAAGTTATAATTTAACCAAAAGTTCAGTTATCTAGAAGAATATATAGCAACATATTGACTAGTAACTCTCAAAAACAAAATAAAACTTTCACTTTCTATTGCATGCCTACTGTTGGACTTTTTAAAAACAATGTGCCTCATGTTCTTTTGTAAAAAAATAATAAGTGATAAGCAGAACAAAGCTAGAGTTAGAATGGAAAGGAATCTTCAAAGCTGCTATCATAAAAGATAGCAGACAGCACATCACTACGTTGTGTCCAAAGGTTTACAGCATGGGATATGACTGGATAATTGGGAAGCTTTCTTTTTTTTTTTTTTTAAGTATAACATCTTACTCCACTTTCAAATAAAAAGGTGTTTTTTTCTTTTAATTTTTGCTCACTTTTCAGCATTTTCCAAATAAAGCAAAGGAAAAAGGAACACCTTTAGATTCTATTTTTGAGACAGGCACTACAGAGGCTCTAGATATAAAATATGTTATCCACATACAAGACTAACAACATTTCTAGCATTGTTCTAAAATTGGAATTCATTTAATTATCTTAAGAAATTTCCAGCATGTTTTTTAAACAGATTAAAATTTAAAACAAAAACCTAGTGAAGTTTTAAGTATATGAATAAAATAAAAACTCCAGAAATCTACACACAACAGTTTACTAGGGAGTTTGGCAGTGTCTGCCTTCTATTATGGCAGAAGGCAGCTTTTGGAAGCAAACCACTGAGGAATACTTTCTGAGCTTAAAATATATAAATTGATGGGGTTACCCTAATGACTGAGTCACATTCAATTTTTTCTATACCAACTGTAAAAATATGTATAAAAAAAACCCTTAAAGTTTGCTTCCTTTGTGAAAATCATCATAAGACCATGGTATAGCCTTCTTTCTAATTTGCATTTTAAGAAATCCTTGCTTTTAATTTTTTATGCCTCCAGATTTTTTTCCACTTAATGCTATATCTAGTATAACTCTTTATCTGATGGTTGACTCTTCTATCTTTCCAAAATAGTAGTAAACAAACAGCACAGTACCTGAAACAGTATGAACAATTGAAAAGATAACTGTTAAATTCATAAATGAGTACCTTGAGTCTCTGGTCAAAACTCTCAAGAATAAAGAACTACTATTTCAAAGAGAGAGAAGATTCAGCTCTGCCACAGATAGTGAGAAATTCAGATAAATGAAACATACAGAGAGGTTAGGAATATACAAATAAGAGACAGAATTCCTGTCTCTCAAATGCTTCCAGTTAAGTATAAGAAAAAGAAGTGAAAATCAGTATTAAAGCCCTATGACCAAGATTTGCCCTTAATTCAGTCTGAAAGAATCAGAGAGAACGTCCCTGAGAATTCAGAAGTATCTAGAGAGATTAGCAGAACTTAACCAACAAAGAGTTTTCCCAAAGCAAAGAAACAACATGGCTTTGAAGAAATAGTGATATTAAATAACCCAGCACGTTTGGAAAACTGGGCTGTTTGATTTGGCTGAAGTAGAGGTTATGACGGAAGTAAGCAGCAACCAGTCCATGATGGACCCTGCACACCACTCTAAGGAATTTAGGTTTGAAAATTGAAAAAAATTCCAATTCCAAAATGTTACAAAATGAAAACTCTGATGCTGCTGCCAACCTAAAGATGGAAATTATAAAATGACACCTTTCACTTGCTTGGTTTCAAAGATTCTATCTGTCCCATCACTGGAAAGACTTGATTTGAACCTGAATATTAAAGATGAATAAGGTGTCAAAGCTGATTTGCGTGTTGCTAAGTGATGCTCTACGCAAGTGCTTCTTATGAAAAAGCAGCACTTCACGCAAATCCCTTTTTTATTGACAAGAGGAACCGTGCTGGCTTTTATTGTGGTGTCTATTACTCCTTAAAAGCCTCATCTCAAACAGAAGAAGTAAAACGTGTATTTTTAAGTATTTAGCATTTAAAAATCAAATCCTATGAAGCTAACACATCAGCTTAAAGTAAATCCTACAGCAACGTAGTGGATTTTGTAAGACAGCATGAGATTACTACCCCTTCTGCAAAAAGAACATGTGCTTTGAAATAACAGGAAGAGAGCTGTCATGATTTAAACAAAGCCTTCTGAGAGAGGTAGCCAGTGCTGGGGGTCAAGTGCTTTTGGCCAAGTTCTGGACCTGAGTTAGTCAGTCCTGAGACATAAGAAAATAATTAATTTGGCTTCATTACAAGCTAAGTCATTGCCTTCACAAGTCTTTTTAGAAATCTGCTTTTAGGGGCACCTGGGTGGCTAAGCACCCAACTCTTGATTTTGGCTCAGGTCACGGTCTCAGGGTTGGGAGAAAGAGCCCTGGCATGGGATCCGTGCTCAGCAGGGAGTCAACTTGAGATTCTCTCTCCCTCTCCCTCTGCTCCTCCCCCTGCTCAGTTGCATCTTTACAGGTGTTTCTGGGTTTGAAATCAGAACACAATGATAGTCATGTGCAGCTTCTTCTGTTTGTAGCCAACCTCTTCTCCCTCACACCCTTGAGTCCAAACTATGCTGATCTCCCCACCATCTTAACTCTTCATTTCTTCCATCGTGGACACACATTTGTCTAGTACCCTGACCTCAGAGTCCATCCAAAGCCACCATTTGGCGATTCTATATAGAAACCCAGCTCATGTTCTAACTCAAGTTAGACCTAATCTAGCTGTATCTGAGGCACCAGTCTGCCGTAAATGCCTCCTACTCCACTGGCCCAGGGCTATTATAGTAACAGAGGTAGTTCCTGCTTTAAAGAACTGGACTAACGAAATGGATCAAACTTGGTATTAAAGGAAGACAGACCAGAAAGCAATATCTAAGACTCAGAAGGTGGGAAGGAGAGGTATTCAAGTTCTAGTCATACTTCAGTATAAACAGATTTACTAACAAGATGTTTACACAGAGAATCTAAGGGTAGAGGGGAAGGTTCTTGAGTCTGAAACACACAAGAAAATGTAGCTGAAAGAGAAAATATTAGTTAAGAGAATTCCCAAAGCTAATTCTAATTTAGGTAGAGACCCCCACAGTCAAAAGCTGGTTCAGTGGTATCATGCCAAAATACAAACTTTACAACTAAACTTAATGCATTATTGCTTACAAGGCCTTCTTTTTCCACCTCTCTTTTCACGCAAGAAACAAATCAAAAACCATTCAATCTCCTATCTTTAGTAATTGACATGAGTATTTCAGGACAAATTTCTGATGTCGCCATTGCCCACAATTCTTATATATATCTTATCCTTAATACTGGAATCCACATTAGGATTTCATTTTTACTTAGCCAATAGATCCAATATAATTGATGGTTAATAAATGAATAAAATGATGCAATAGTAAATACTGAAGAGCAATTCAGA